TCCACCACACACGTTTCTGTACGAGCGGTCGGGGAAACTGATGGTCCTAAAGAGGTTCCTCTTTTCCGCGCCCCCCCCGCAAGGCGCGCGATACACAACTCGGGGTAATCTCTTCTTTGCGGCCAGTGATTCTTTTCTCGCACAACACTGGGCTAGATAGATAGAAAGAGAATTCTTAAAATACACGCACGCCTCTCACAGCACACTGGCCCAGTGCGACTGGCACGACAAGGGCGCGGACTGGCGCGGACTGGCACACACACCGGCTCACCACCGGAGCCGCCTAAGCGACTCCGTTAAGAACGGCAATGCACTCCAATGGCGACGGAACAGTCTGGTCTGGATAGCCTAAATTCTTTTCGCGCGCGCTGCGCCCAAAATTTTTTCAACGGTGAGCCTGTGTGTGTGCCAGTCCGCGCCAGTCCGCGCCCTTGTCGTGCCAGTGTGCTGTGAGAGAGGCTTGTATTTTAAGAATTCTTTTCAATGCATGTAGCTCTTACGTACATTCCCGGCCAGGAGGATTGAGGTAAGGTAAGGTAAGGTAAACTTCTCCACACACACGAGGTGGTGGGGCAAGGGGGGGCAACCCTCGCGTCTCCACGTCTAACGACAGGAGCCCCACGGCATTCAAAGTGCAAGGCCCGGTGCGCGTGGGTGAGCGGTGTGTGTGTGTGTGTGTGTGTGTGTGTGTGTGTGTGTGTGTGTGTGTGTGTGTGTGTGTGTGTGTGTGTGTGTGTGTGTGTGTGTGTGTGTGTGTGTGTAGAGTGTAGGAGGATTGAGCTGACAGGGTTTGCGATGAGGTTGCTTCAGGAGCGACCCGAAGGGGAGGGGTGGCAGGTGCGCGCTACACGCAGCTCAGACGTCAGAGCTATGGCTGTATGCAGCCAACCCAACAGCCCGAATAAAGAAAACGCAGACAGGACACGACGTATCTACTCTTCAAAAGGATCCAGAATGCAACTGTACTTGCTACTCCTAATATTGCCGCGAGAGTTGGTTCTCCCCGCCTCACTCAGCACTCCGCGGCGGCGCTCAGGCAACGCGGAGCTGCATCCGGGCAACGGCAAGACCCCCTGCTGGAGGTTTGGCCCTCTCACTGAAAACCCCGTGCGGATCGAGTGAGTCATCGCACCACCACCCTTGGCAGCACAAAGCCGCGCCAGATGTCCGCCAGCTCTGGAGCCGCTCCCTCGCGGCTGTCGAAGCGCTCCTCGTCCCAGGCGATCAGGTAGCCCAGCCGCATCACCTCGACCGCCCGCTTGCGAGCCGCCTCCGGGAAGAGCTCGTGCGACTGCGGCGACCACTCCGCCGCCTTGAGGATCAGCCTGCCCACGTCCACCGCCTCGGCCGCTGGCTGCAGGTTGGCCGGCCTGAGGGAGGGCAGAGGTGTGTCAAAGAGAGGATCCGGCGAGTCGGGGAGAGACCATTGCATTGCGCGCCTCAGTGCGAGTGCCTTGGCCTCGCCCGCCACACGCACGCCGAAGCGGGCCGTCGAAGCGTTTGCGGAGACGACGACGCCGACCTTGCCGTTCATCGAAGGCCGCGAGACGAGAGAGTGGATCTCGACTGTGGAACCGACTGCCGCAACGGTCGGATCCGACTCGCCCCACGAGCAGAGGACGCGCGCCCGCTCGAGGGCAGAAGGCTCGCCGGCGAGCGGGTCTGCGCCGCCGCGCAGCAGTGCCCGCGCCCGCTCGACGGTGAGCGCCTGCGGAAGAGGGACAATGGGCGTGAGGACAGCGCGCTCACGCCTTCGGCCGCTAGTCTCGGGCACGCCTCGAGATGCTGGAGCGGCTGGCGCGGCTGGCGACCAGCCAGACGGCGAGGTCGGCGTGGCCTTCTTCGGTTGCAAACTCCTCGGGCGTGCCGAAGGGCGTAGCGGCGCGGGAGGCGCCGTAGGAGGAGAGGAGCTTGGCGATCTCGACGTGGCCGTTGTGGCACGCCATGATCAGCGGCGTGGTGCCGTCGTTGCGGGCTTGGTTGACCGCCGCGCCAGCCTCGAGGAGCAGCCGGACGCATGCGATCTCGCCGTGAAGCTC